CGCGAAGGCCTCATGGGCACGTGGGAAGAGGGCAAGGGTGGTTGGCTCGAGACATGGGACCGACCGCAGAAGCACCACGTGATGCGGCCGCTCAAGGGCCACAAGAACCAGCGCAATGAGTTTGAGCGGTGGGTGATTGGACAATTGGAGTGCTGTGCAGTCGTTCTTTGATTGACGACTGGGTTTGTGTGTGTATGTATGTGTTGGTTGGTTGCTGGAAACAGCGTCAAGAAGGTGCAGGCAGCACTGGCAGCCATGCCCACCAAGATCGCGGAGCACAAGAAGGCAGTCAAGCAGGCCAAACCTCTCAAGGGACTGGACAAGTGGCTCAACGAGAAGGACCCGTACTAGACGTAAAAGGCAGGGGCTGAGGGGGGATTCAACCTTGTCAGAACACACAAGACATATTCCAATTTATTAATTGAGGGTAATTGCTGAAGTGTTTTTAAACGACGGGTTATGGTGTCGCTTTGAACACTACCTGAGTTACGGTTAAAGCATGTATATTTGTGCAGCCGAGTAAACTCTAGCGCCTTACACTAAATTGTTTCTGAAACGTCGCGCCTAGCGTTGTATTTACTGCGAGGTGGCATCGACTGCAGTGCGCTTGGTCGAGAGTGCGTAATCGAGAATCATGGGCTTAACCAAGCACGGTCGAGTAAAAAAAGGTATCGTTGCACCTATGAGTGACGACGAGGACAGCAATAATACTGTCAACCTCCACCAAAGCAGCACCAACTCGTCGAGGCAGGAAGCAAGAGGCGTGTCCTTTTCTTCTTCGCGAGGGAAAATATGGTGCATGTCATGCTCTTGTTTAGCTGTCCGAGTCAATGTGAACTGATTCCGCTTCGTTCCTGGTGCAACTTCTCCAGGTTGATTCTAGTCGTTAACATTTCTATCGTCACCATGTTCATCTTCATGAGTTCCACGCGCTTCCCGTCTCTGCATGGAGAAAGTATTGTGAACGCTGCGCTGGAGCAAGACGAAGAGCACCCAGGACCAATTGACAAGAACGCAGAGCTTATTTTCTCACTGGCAGCCGTTCACTTCGCTAATACGAAAGAACCACAAATGCAAGAAACCGGAGGCTCCTCAAAAATTACGAGCACTGATCCTCTGGATAAAGGACCCGACTTGAAGGATGCAACCAAAAGAGAGACAGAAGCACCACACTTGGTGACACCAGGTGATGTTACAGGGGTAACTCCTTCAGTCCATACCGATATCCACGAGGAGGAATCCGAAACACTCTTACCGGCCGTGACTCTACAGATTGGTGAACCGGTATCCAGTGTAAACTTTAGCAAAGACGCCAAAGCAACCGATGCAACAAATGACTCTTCTTCAGCTAATGAGCGACAACTACAATCGACGATCTCAGCTGAGATGCAGACGTTATTTCGCGATGAGGAATCGCAGGATGTATCTTCAGAAACGCTATCTCCGTCCCCAGAGCAGCCAGATGAAGCCGATTACAGCTCATCAACGGCAACTGCAGCGCCGCAACTTGTAGATGTCGAAACTTCTAAAGTCAAGTCCAAAGGTAATTATGATTCGAGCTAACTGATGCCCTCAACTTTCAACAGAAGCTCATTTTATAAGTGTGACGATTCTCAGATCTTCTTGATAACTTATCGGTGTGGCTCACAAGTGACTCGGGTGTTGAGGTTGAGAATTTGGAGGGTTGCTTAGCGTCATCAGGAAAAGATGTCGTCGCTTGTGGGGTAAACAGGTATCTCGCTCTCCATTAATGTTACCTCTAGGACGTCGGAAGCTTACATATTCGTGCTGGGTCAAATGGTACATGTAGCTGGACAAACCAAGTTGCAAGCATAGATATCAACTTCGCCGCCTCAACATCTTTCCGCCCCGCGTCACAAAAATCTGTGTGGATTCCGATCGCTCCAGACACATACAACCAGCTTCCAACCGTGTACTTTACGTCGTGTCCTATGGTGACAGATATGCTGAGAGTACACGAGTCAATGACAGTGCTGTTCGTGCTCTCTCCAGCTCAGATTGAGGTGAGAACTCGATCCACGACGAACTACAGCTCGTTAGATGATAATCTTTTTTATTTTTTGGGTTATACTAGGCTGGCGACTCGTACACTGGACAGAAATTCTTCGGGAACTCTCCGTATGGACAGTTTGCTCTTCACGGTGGTAAACCATCGTTTTTTGCCAATCACGGCCTTGTAGAGAGTGCTCAGGTGATCCCCTCGGGACAGTTCTCGCTTGTGACGTACCGTGTGGTTCCAGGCTACGTCCAAATCAAGGTCAATGGTGGTTCTTGGGGTGGTGAAGCTCCAGTTGAAGGCGACGATAGACGCATTCGAATCACAATTAACGATGTGGTGAGCCTCGGCAACAGTAAGGGTGCGTGCGATACAAACGCGTTCCAGGGTAGGATTGCTGAGGTGCTCATTTACGACGTTGAATTGGACAATGCGAAGATTGAAATGGTGGAAAAATTCCTCCACGAGAAGTGGTGGGGGAATAAGCCGTTCCCAATAACAACAACGCCAGTGCCTGTAGTTGCAGAGTCTGAACCTGTTGTGTCTAAGGTTTATAATCTATTGACAGGCCCAGTGGCTGAATCACCCGGAAATGCCGCACAGGTCAATGAAATGAGCCAGCAACCTTCCTCAACAGGGAAGCCACATGCTGAAGACACCGAGCAAGCGTCTACTCCAGCAGAGAGATATCAAATCGATCATCGAAACAGCGATGCTCCGGGGAAATTTTCGAGAGTGGATGAGGAGGACGTGAACTCGCCCAAGTTCGATCCGCGAGTCAGCATTTTCGAGTGGACAGCTCCTAGCCAAGCTGATCCAGCAAATGCAGCGCGGTGGAGGAACACAGTGAAGGAAAAGGTGGAATACATCCGCAACTTTCAGCTGGGTGGTGACGTACTACGCACACTGATCCGCCAGCACAAGGACGAATTGGTGATGTTGCGAGAGGAGCTCTTCGGTTGACCCTGACCTTTATCATGGTGCCCAACAATGCAACCTCGTAAAAAAATGGTTTTTATTAACCGTTTTTATTGGATGAAATTATTCGTTTCCCTAACGTATTGCGTGCGTTCTTCAAAGAGCCATCTTGTCGAAGTGTAACGTTATTAATAGCTCACTGTTCAACCAGCTACTTCATGAAGTATGCATTAGAGGCGATGTCATGAAGTATCCCGAAAGTAACACTAGTTTTCAAAGCAAGCTTAGTCAAGCTCCCGCGCGCTATGGCGTCTCAACGCTTGTCATCGTGGCTCTGCGGCCCTGGGGCTCAAGCCCCGGATGCAGCCGACGCAGCGGATTCGAAGCTGCAGGATATGAGCAAGCCCACAGCCAGTTCCAGCGACTCACCACTGGACATCAGCCTCGTGCAGCTGCGTGCCAAAGAGACCATCACGCGCATCAGCCCCGAGAAGCTCTCGCTCGTGGAGGAGATCGACAGTGAGCCGGACGATGCAGAGTTCGACGAGAGAGCGCACTGGACTAGGCGCGGATCCAGGAAGAAGGCCAGGGCGTCACGTCGAGCCGCGGCTCTGGATAAGTCGCAACCGTCGATTGCGCTCTTCTGCGTGAAGGAGGCGGCCTTAGCTGCCGATAAACCGGATACAAAAGCAGAGGAGGATACACTAGACGGTGCTATTGCAACCTCACAACCGAAGAAGAAGGAGAGCAAGAGCAGAAACAGGAGGAGGAAGAAGGAGAGCTCCAATCTCGAATTGGACTCGGCAGTCGAGAAGGAAGAGCACGTAGCTATTGTAATGAGCTCTGGACGGCCCAAACGCCAGGCAGTTGTACGAGCAGAGATCTTGCAACAGCAACAAAAGCTATTGGACGCTGTTGCTGCAAGGAAGAATGCAACGCCGTTTTTGACTCCGCCGCCCTTGACCAAGAAAGCAGCAGCAGAGGGCAACGCAACGACTAGTGGGCGCAAAAGAAAATTGGACATGAACAAGAAGAAAATGTCTCCGCCCTCGAAGAATGGATCTACAACGAGCTCACCTGGGGCCAACAAGGCAGCACAATCATTCTTCTTAAGTGAGCCGGAAAAGAAGCAGATGCAGGAGATCAATGCCGTATCTTTGTTCCGGGAACAACTTCGACAGACGCGTGAAAAAGATCTCGCGTTTTTCGCTGGTAAAACAGCGAACCCATTTTTTCAGGCCCGCTCCAGTACCAAGCGAAGCAGCAGTGCTGAAAATGACGACGGAGTTGCTGAAATGAACGAAGATGGTGAAGCTCGCGACGCAAAGGGGCGCCGTGGGAGTCGCTGGAGTAAACCTTTGTCGCTGTTTCCTGAG